AAAGGAAATTAGGTTCATAAAACTAATGAACTATTTTTAGGTTACTTTGACTAGTCTAAATTTATCATTTTATAAATTTAGAAATCTTTTGTCAATAATAGAAATAATTAATTAATGTCATCCTATTAGTTCCTGTCAATCTTTAAATCCAAATTTAAGTATTTATGTTTACTTTTGAACCATAAAAAAACTGTATCTAAGTATAAATAAAATTATGAATGGAACTAATAAACGAGAAAATTTTTCTTTCGAAAATTGAAATCGTTCATAAAACACTTCTTTTTTATGAATTCGCTCATGGAAATAGTTCCTTACGAATATAGTCTAGTGGTAAAGTTTGTCTCTACGGCAACTGGGTCGTGGGTTTTATCAATCCCGTATTAATGGAACGTCTTGCAACTTTTAACCTAAAATAATTTAATTTAAAAGTCAATCAATCTATAATGTGTTATGTTTTATCCATTAAAAAAAGGAAAAATTATAGAATTTTTTCTTATTTATTTATTGTGTAATTAAATATATCCAAATATAAATTAACCTATTCGCATTGTAGTATTTTACTACAACCACTGTTGTAGTATTTACACAGTGGTGTAGATAATTTCATATATCAATCTAAACTGAAGTCTACAATATCAGATCTCCATTATGCTAAATACCGCTTCATTTGGGTTTTTTAACTTTTTTTTAAATTTAGTATTCTAAATGAAATTTTCATAGCTAATTAGCGATAAATATTTATTCAAAAATAAAAATAATTGTATTCAGTATTAATATTAAATACAATGATTTTTCTTTTAATATGAGTTTCATGGAAATAAAAATATAAATCAATATCAATGTTTAAATAGAAAAAACTATGCACGCATGTTGTTGCGTTCAAACAGATCTTGCACTTGCAATTACAACGCAATACAGAAAATTTGTGTTCTTATGAAGGACGGAAATTTTTTCAGTTTTTGAAGGTAATGTCTTCTTGACATATCGTTGAAAGAAATCGGTTCGATGAGAGCTGAGAAAAAGTGGTAACAGGCACACAAAAAAAAAAACACATAGCAATATTAATACATTCTCAGCTTTGCATCGAAGTTAAAATTGAAAAATGTTGAATGTAAAAATAATAATGTAATTCTTAATTTAGTTCTAATGTCACATAATTAGAGAAAAATTTCAATTAAAGAAGAATGGTAAAAATATACATGGTAAACTTTTATTAGATGTCTAGTAGAATTTTCATTATCATCCATGTACTTGGATGTACTCTAATATACTTTAGTAGTATGCCTTTTTTAAAGTGTTTTTGTGTAATCAAATCGTGGTTAATTTTGTATTTCGAATAGTCAAATAAATAAATAATAATTTTAATTTAAAGAAATACTCAACTTTTTATTATAAGATAAATAATTGTTATAAGATTATATTATATAATTTTTTGTCGTAAAATAAAATACTGAAAAGTAAATTTCAACTTTTCTTGACTCGTTTAAAAATTTTAAGTAAAAATTGTTTAAATAAAGAGATTCTTTGTACTCACAATCATAAAAAAATGAATAATCATCATTTTGCAGTTTCTATTTGCATAATAAGCTAACATGTATAATATAAATAATAAAACATGACAAAGATTAAGCTGTTTTAATTATGAATTATAGTTTTCAAATAATTCAGTAATAACTCATCCGTTAAACGCGCTTAACCTTTTGAAAAATAATTTAAATTATAGTCTTAATTTATTAGTTATATTATTAATTAAATATTAATTGTAATACTGTTAACTGGTATGCTTAATTTTATCTTTATTGTAGTAACATTAAACCTTATCAACGAAAACCAATTGATACAGTTGAAAAATAATATTAATACAACAAAAGTTTACTATATTTTGTAAAAATATATTTATAATTTGTTTACCTAAGAAACAATTAAACAGATTAATGTAATGCATCTACAGTATAGGTTGGGCAACAATTAGTTTTGTGTGGACAGTAAGCATTAGGTATCTCTTATTAAACAAGTAATACCTGGTTTTTAAAAAATATATAGTAGGAACTTTAACAATTAATTATTTTTAACTTTAACATTTTATATGCTTAAACTAATTTAATTTATAAATCTTTGATTGTTAAAAATATATTTATTTAATTTTAAAATAGATTAAATATTATGTACAGATTTCATACAATAAAAATATTGCCTAGTTTTCTTTTAAGTTTTGTAGTTTATTAATTTATTCCAAAAATAATTACTTTTTAATTTAAAGCAGAGACAAACAAAGATTCTATATTATATAAACTTAAAATATTATATGATTGACTACTGTGGAGTTTATTTACATTTATTTAATTTTGTTCTTTATACATAACTTATCTTTTTTTACATTAAAAAAGAACCAGGTGGGGTATTTATCCATTTATCTGGATTTTTAGATTTGTTTACGAGATTTTCTGTTTTCACTTTTAACCACGATTTTATTTTGACGGAAGTTGTGTTAACTAACTTAGAATCAAATGTGTATTCTTCAATATAATATGAGTAATAATATTAGGTAAACAGTTATCTTAAATATTGTTTATGTATCACATACATTTATTTTTGATGAAATAATATTATTATTTAATTTTCTAACTGTAAAATCTTGGAATCAAAATTAAGTTTAAATAAATAAAATATTCCTGTACACTTTTTAATATTAAAATGAACTTTACATTAATAATTTCGACTGTTAATTTTTTATTATTAAGATAAAATTTAACAGATTTAAAAACATATGTAACTCATTTCTAATAAAATATTAGGAATTATAACAGAGACATCTGGTGTTTTTCATTCATGCATCCATAACCTTATGTGACCTCGTTGTTTTTTATCGCAGTATAGAACGAACTGCAACCTGTTATACCTACTTAAAGTACATGACAACTTAGTAGTAATGTGAAAAATATTAGTAACCAAAAAATTTAAGTACTTAAAATATTTTGAAGGCATTGTTTAAAAAAACACGATGAAATCTTCTGGAGGATGTAAGTAAAATTTTTTTAATTCTTTATTTTATGCCGTTCTAATAAAAATAAATTTACATTTTAATTTTAATTTTAATTTTTCACTTTATTTAGTGAACTCTTTAGGTTTGTCATCAGTAATTTTTAAATAAACTATACTTTAAAAATAAATTAATATTAATATCTAGGTTTTAGCACATAGGAAAACCGGAATAATATTGAAGTACGTACTTTTATAGGAAAGAGCGTCTATTGTTTATTTAACACCCTTCCCTTGTAATTATGTAACAAGGAAACTTACTCGTTGTCTATATTTGGGCGTCAAGTTAAAAAAAAAAAAAAAATGAATTTTTATTAATTTTTTTGTTTTATTAATTTTTTATTTTTACTAAAGATGTGAAATAACACATTTTTAAAATAAATAATTAATAAGAACTGTAAATGAACTATTGGAATTAAGCCTTCAAGTAAAGTTACAATTTTGTTCACGGAATGTTAAGTTATTCCTATATAGCTTCTTTATAATTTAAAGTAAAAGTTATACAATTCTTAATATTTACTCTAAGAATTACCAAAATTTAAAAAATTATAAAACATATTTATCTTTTTTAAAATGTAATTTTGACATGCCTTCATGTATACGTAAAAAAATTAACGTAATGTGTTTTGAATTTTGAGTTCTTTTTTTATCAAAAATTTTGTTTTAACCTGTTCTTTTTCACAATTACTTTACCTTTAAAGGTAATTAAATTTATTATATAACCTTAATTTTCTTGACTGAAAAAAAAATAATTGAAAAATGAATTTTTGTATTTTAATAATTATTTATTTTTTTATTTTTTATTAATCCGAAGGTTGGTTAACAATTATTTATTACGCGTTATAATGTGTATATTATGGGTTTAATAAATATACGTATATTATCAAGGTCACAAAAAATATTGACCTCGATTAAGTGAAATATTTAATATTAAATTAATAAATTTTTTGTTTCACAATATTTAATGCATTGACCAGAAAGCTTAACATGACTAATGTATCAACTAAGGCTCAGTATTTCATATAAGTTGATACATTTTTTTGGAATGACTTACTAAAGATTATTTAACACTTTAATATTAGCTATCATACCTCTCATTTTACTCCAATTTTTGCCTATTTGCCTTCTTACCAGGATTGGATTTTAAGCAATAAATAAGCTTGTTTTAATTTATTCAACAAAATATCAATATACAAAATTAAGTTGTTGTAATTTCGTTATATAATTTGTATGCAAAAGGAAGAGGTAAAAAAATGTATAAAGAGCTAGATTAAATTTTTTATTCATCCTAAAAATATATTCACACTAAATAAAATTTTTCTAAATTCTGGAGGAATAATTTTATTTTTGGTAGGATTTTCAGGCCTCTTCAAACTTTGCATATATTTTGATCTCATTATTATTAAATGTACCAATTCATATAATTTAAATATTTAACCAAATCAATTTTCACACAAGTCATATTGAATTTTTGTTATTTTTATAAAAAATAAAATAATAATACAATTGAAATTCGTTTTTAATAATTATTTAAATTAAATCGTTTTTAAATAATTCTAATATAACATTTAAACTTGACCATCTTAATTATTAAGTTTTAATTCACTTAAGTAACCTACATTAATAGTTTTAACAAGGAAAAATTTGTTATGATAAAAGCTACATAACTTTAATCATAAATATTTTAAGTGGTATAATATCTTTTACTCGCTACATTTTATTCTCTGCGACTTATCCCGTCGTATAAAAAGCGTAGGTATCGTCATTGTCCCTGTATAGTCCAATTTAAGGCGATTATTCAATTTGTTCAACTCTGTTTGTATACTATACAGTTTGCAAAATAGATAGTCATGCATTGTTGTATATGCGCTTTATAACATTTATGGATTTCTATTAAATATTTGCATTTTTTTTAAATCAATTAAAGTAAAAATTTGAAATCGTTAAAATCATGACTGTAGGGAAAACGGCCAAAATTTCTTCTCCAATAATGAAAAGACGGAAATCGGAGTTGGAAGTAGATGATTTGGAAAAAGAATCTAAAGTCTTGTCTTCATTTTATCCAAGTCCACCACCCGTAGACTTGGTGCAAACAGCAGTAAGTCTAAATAGTGTATATTAAAAAAATTAATTAAAAAATAACAAAATAGTATATAATATTTTAGGTTTAATAAAGCTCCGATGAACTCATTAACTAAGTAAATATTAGCTGATATTAGTGTACAAAATTAGGTTAATAGCTTTAAAAAACATTTTTTAATGATTGTAGATTTATTCAATTACAGTCAATAAGTTCAATGATTCCTTAATAATATCATTATAGATTACAGTGTTTAGGAGCTTATATTTATGTTGTACCAAATAAAAATTATGATAATTTTGTAACGTTAGAATTTGTTAAATAGTCTAACATTTTATTTTATCAGACCACTATGAGATTGATTATTTATTTACTATAGCTGGCACTAAGCTAATGGCATGTCTATTATGTTTTTCATATAGATTTTTAGTTATATTTAGAGTTTATAAAAATCAGTTAATAGTACATAGTAGTAAATAATTTTATTATTTATGATAACAAGTCTTTACATATTTAGCAAACCATTTTTGAATTTAGGCTGCAATTCTACTTAATATTACTTTAAAATTTTAAGAAATAATTGGATTACTTTCACTTAGTTCTAAACTAACAATGTTTTTGGAAGTTTTTTTTTTTTTGTGGATGGTACATATTATAAACTTACTAATTAAAAACACATTATAACACGCACATATAGTGGTATTTTAGCGGATATACGGCGTACAACCTACAAAAAATTTTATAAAATTTATCTGTGTTTGTTTTGTCATTTACTTTTAAGTTTTATGCCACATTCAGTTTAAAATAAATGTTAAATACTTTTTATTAAATTACGAAGCTATTGTATTACTCACGTTAAATTTTTAAATTCTATACAAATCAAACCATGGATAATTACGCCATTAACAGCTGAATAAAAGTACAAATTATATTGTTAAGTTAAATAACTAAAATAATAAAAGTAAAAAATTAATAATAAGTATACATATTTAAATTTTAGTGACTCAAGCAAATAATGTTAATGAATAATAATAACAGTTATGAATAGACTTTTATGTTAGTATTTTTATACTATCCATCACTTTAATAGGAAATCTAGAGACTCACTAGCAATTGTAGACATAATTTTATTTTATGTTTTAAAATTAAATTGTTCTTAAACTTTATTAAATGCACTACATTTAACAATGAAGAAAGACTCTGAGGCTATACATATATATATTGATTAATGTTGGAGTTACTTAGATTATTTAATTTAAGCGTATTGGGGTTATGAAGTATTTTAACATTAGAATAAACTATAAATTTATTTACAAAGGTTTAAAATTGGCTGGATAACAAAAAAATATCATTTGTCTTACAATGTTCGTTTTTGTGCCAAGGTATAAAAAATCTTTCAAGTTTAGTCTTTAAAAATAAATTGCCACGACTTATAAAAGGTTGACTAGTTATTCAAAAAAATTTAGAATTACGAAATAGAAATAATATCATAATTATTACTTTATAAATTATTATAAAGCATTTTGATTTAATTTAAACAACTTAAAAATATAAGTTTATTAATTTAAATCAGTAATAACATAGCATCAAAGCAAATAACATAACTAAAAACTAACTTTTGAATCAAACTTATGGTATAACTTTTTGTCAATAATAATTGTTAACTAAAAATAAAATTTAATAAATTTGAACGTGAACTTAAATATTATATAATATTTACTACATTTGGATTCGGAATATTTAAGTGACTAATTTTTAAATTTACTTCTTTTCAACATCAAAAATATGATTTTGCCATATTTAAAACAAATGATTTAATTTTTAATATATATCTTAATTTTCATTTTGTAACTAATAAATATGTTTAAAGGTCGTAACTGTCATATATCAAATAATGTATCTGTGAATAGTTTATTTTTACACACTTATTTTTGTATTTTATATACCTTTTAATGATATCGATCTTGTGAAAAAAATAAACTTGAAATTAATCATTGCATAGTCATGTGGTATTGTGTCAGTACTTATAATAATTAATTTATACTTTAATTTAAATGTTTATTAGAAATATTAAATTGAAAATTATGTTTACTTGGTTGCTTTGATTTAAATACGCAATAAAAAAAGTTGAATAGTGAAAACATCTTTTAGTACATCAAAAAAATTGTTAATTCTCTAATTAAGCCTTATGAAATATTTTTGAAAATATAAGAGCTAATCATTTTTTTTTTTTTTTTACGACGATAATAATTGTTTGTTGAACTACTCTATGAGAAAAATTAAATTTCTACTTCACCTCTTATACTTTATACAATTTACAACTTATTATTATAAACGTATATTTTTATTTTAATCTGGCATAATTGTATAATACAAATTGTTAATTTGTGGCAAATGTTATTTATATTAAAATTTAATTAAAGTTTGATTAAACAAAAAAAAATTTGTTTGTAGGAAATTATTTTTATTTTATTCTAATACCAGTCAGTAACGAGTGTTTTAAGTTTATGAGAAATGAAAAATAAAAATTTATTTATACAAGCTGCAAACATTATAAATCGATAGGGTACCTTTGTTCATAGAACTGTTGATTGAATTGCTAAGAACCAGTAGCGTCGAAAAAAATGATTAGATCTTATATTTACAATAATATTTTATGAGGCGTTATTAAGGAATTACCCTATATAGATACAATTTTTTTAGGTGAAAATATTATGTTTCTGTTTAACGATTTAGTTTAACAGGATTATATAAAAACATACTGTTCAATTGTTTCAATAATTGTGTGTGTTATATTCACAAACAATTTGTTAATCTATTTAATAGTAAAGTTTTCAAAACATGCATTGGCTAATCTTGCTAGTATAATAAAATGATAAGATGTGCTCAGTACAATGTTCACGCAGATTTTGTTTGCCACGAATTGAAAATAGACCGTCCTGACAATTACCTTTTACCACGTGTTATGACACAATAACCGAAATTTCAGGTTTTCTCTTTTGATATTTGACTGATTATTTCATAGATCTGTGTTAAATGATACTAAGTTCTTTGACCCACTAAACTTTGATAACAATTCAGAACTCAATTTATTCATTTAATAATCTAATATCGCTACAATGAAATAGTGAAGTCAATTTAGTCAAACCGCATGCTACAATAATCTTTGTTTTATTTAATACAGATGTACGGGCGATATACCAAAGAACTCGGTGACTATGTTAAAGAACCTCGAAATCGGACACCGTCCATTATACATACACACACAAGCGATGATTTTAGCAGATACAGCGGCAAAATCAGCTCGACTTTGGAAGTTGTTTGGCGACATTCATTCGCTAAGCTTGGTGAAGACTGGGTATTTTTGACCATGCTGGGGCTTGTTATGGCTGTGCTTAGTTTTGTGATGGATTACAGTATAGATTTTATCAATGAAGGTATAAAATATTGTACTGTTTTTTGTTTAAATTACAAACAATATGAATTTTTTTAAAATACATTCTAAAATTATCGTGAATACTAAGAAGAATAATCAAAATGTTTTTAAAAAATGAAACTTCTCCGTTGATATTTAATTTCAACATACATTATTCAAAAAGTATAAATTAACAATTTTAAATGTACAAATTTGATATTATATATCAAAAATATATTTTATTTACATATATTAATTAAATAATTAATACCACATATATATATATATATTTAAATATTTTATATTACTTTTCACAGGTAGAATATGGTTGTATAAAGACATGGCGTTTAATCAGTATTTGCAGTATATAGTTTGGGTTCTTTTGCCTGTTAGTTTAATTATTTTTGCTGCTGGTTTTGCTCATTTAGTTGCACCTCAATCTATAGGTAAAATTATTGACTAATAGGAACGTTCAAATAATATAAATATATATCACGCAACCATTTACAGGTTCAGGAATTCCAGAAATGAAAACCATATTAAGAGGAGTCGCTCTAAAAGAATTTCTCACTTTAAGAACTTTAATTGCCAAAGTTATCGGAGTGACGGCAACATTAGGCTCAGGTCTACCTCTTGGAAAAGAGGTGAGTGATTTCACCATCATTAACGGAAAATCTTATACTTTATTATCTTTTTGCAGTTAAACTAAATAAGGTAAAAAATATTTTAATTTTTGATATTGCGCTTTTAGTATCTGTATATTTTTATTGACGTATCAATTTTTCTTTGTCCTGTAATATTTTGATTTTTTACTGTACATTTAAACTAATTAAAAACGGTGTCTTAATGGGATTTTCAATTAAAAAAAAAAAGGTGTAAAACATTGAGCAAAAACATAGATTGATACACGAATATTTTTGAGGTACCGTGATATTTCATAAAAAACTTTGGATTAGGCTCAAATATTTACCAACTGATTGGTAAAAAATTGTGTGTTTTACACTTTATAGTTATTACAATAACTATATAGACTTTTTTCATACATGATATAAAAATTCTACATTATAAATTAATAATAATTATTTTACAATTAACTAGGGTCCATTTGTGCATATTGCTAGTATTACAGCCACATTATTAACAAAAGTAATTACATCTTTCAAAGGAATATACGAAAATGAATCTAGGAATACAGAAATGTTGGCTGCTGCTTGCGCTGTAGGAGTAGCAAGTTGTTTTGGGGCTCCTATAGGAGGCGTTCTATTTAGCATTGAAGTAACTACGGTTTACTTTGCAGTAAGAAATTATTGGAGAGGTTTTTTTTCTGCTGTATGCAGTGCTACAGTTTTTAGACTTTTGGCAGTATGGTTTAATAAAGAAGGTTATTAACAAATATAATACATTTCTTATTTATGTGTTTGAAAGGTATCATAATAAATTTTTTTTTTAGATACCGTGAAAGCTTTTTTCCCTACTCATTTCACCATGGAATATCCTTTTGACCCACAAGAAATGACAGTATTTGCACTTTTAGGGTATGCATGATCTTTAAAAAAGTATAACAATTATTTAACAATTAAATATTATTCTATGTGAATTTTAGTGTAGTTTGTGGATTGTTTGGAGCTGGTTATGTTTGGGCTCATAGGCAGTATGTGCTTTTTATGAGACAGAGTAAAAAAATGAACGTTTTCCTCCAAAAGAAGTAAGTAAGTAATTACAATAAATAACTAATTTTTAAATATTTTGGGAATCAAAAATAGTTTAACATGTTTTTTTATTTCATTTTCAGTCGATTCTTATATCCCAGTTTGATTACTTTTCTCATATTGTCTATGACGTTCCCTTTGGGTATTGGCAAATATATTGCTGGAGATTTAACAGTTAATGATCAGGTACTAAAAAAAACATTTATAATCAAATACACTCTTATTATATAATCTTTCTTTCTTTATTAACATTTATAAAAATAGTTGAGAGGTTTGTTCAGTAATTTTACTTGGACCAAAGAAGAATTTACAATTGAGGAATCGGAAATGATGAATCATTGGCGAACAGAAAACACTAACGTTTTTGTCTGCTTATCAGCTTACGTAGCTTACAATGTATGTTACTATTAATTAAAACTTAAAGAATTAACTTAATGAAAATGGTTTATTTCAGTTTGTATTTTCAATAATTGCATCAACTATTCCTGTACCATCCGGTAGTTTCATACCTGTGTTTAAAACAGGAGCTGCTTTTGGTCGTATTGTTGGTGAACTTATGCATTTATGGTTTCCCTATGGTGTGAGGCACGGTAAATTTATTACGACAATCATACCAGGTAATTTGAGCAATTAAAATTTTTTTAATTATTATTAATCGATAAATATTTCTTATAGGTGGTTATGCCGTGGTCGGGGCTGCAGCTTTCAGTGGAGCCGTTACTCATTCTATTTCAGTATCTGTTATAGCATTTGAAATGACTGGACAAATAACACACATTATACCTGTTATGGTAAATAGATAAAAAAAAAAGTCATCTATATAGAAAAATTAACACTATTGTTTTTTTAGATGGCTGTCTTGATATCTAATGCTGTAGCAGTTTTGTTACAGCCATCGTTATACGATAGTATAATTTTAATAAAAAATCTTCCGTACTTACCCGATCTTTTACCATCAAGTTCAGGTAAGTTACAGTTGAAAATTTACTCATTAACTTTTCTAATAGGTTTATTTTGCCTTGATAGGTATGTATAGCGTTTATGTGGAAGATTTTATGGTCAGAGAAGTCAAGTATATTTGGTACAATATGAACTACAGAGATCTAAAAAAAGTTCTAAAAGAAAATAAAGTTTTGAAGATTTTTCCTCTAGTCGATAAACCCGGTAATCAATTGTCATATTTTTTATTTAATCTACTTTTAGCTTCGATGCGAAGCTGAGAAGGTATTGGTTTTACTATGATGTGTTTTTTTTTTTTTTTTTTTTTTT